TTTCCAAGGTAAACGCTACATACTGCCAGTTATGAGCCCTACTTGGAGGTTCATGGGTAGTTATAAGTAGGTGCGGGGGGTTCAAGTAGGGTAGCTATAACTGTGAACCGTACTAGGGGTCGCAATCCCACTTACAACTACCAAAGAACCCCCAGGTAAACCGTAAATCCTAAGCCCCTTTGACCCGAACCGGCCCAGCGACATGCAATTGTGCATCAACCGGAAAATTCTCAACCAACAACCGCTTCGATGAGCTCGACCGCCGCGCACCCTAAGCTCTGAACCCAGGGCCCGGAACCATAAACCCCACATCCTAAATAATAAACTACCGTACGGTTCCGTATTATACTATGATGTCAGCCAAAACCCTACTCCAAAAATTAAGGCCTTTTTTTTCTGCAAAGTTTCCCTAAACAAATTCAACAACTCATAAGACATGCCGCTTGAGGGTTTAAGGTTGAGGATTAAGGGTTTAGTGTCCCAAGCTCTCAACCCTCGCCAGCCCAGTAAACCCTTCTAGACCCTTTATAGAACACCGCTCCCCAAACTTCGAGCTCAACCCTAGACCCCTAAACCCTAAACCCTATAAGCCTTATAAGCCCTAAACCCTAAACCGTAGCACCCAAGGCATGCGTGGCAGGTGGAGCTCATCTCATGGGCCGCTTGGGCGCGTATAATGTAGGGGCTTTAATAATTTAGAATATGGTTTTGGGGGTTCCTTTAAAAGTTCCTTAAAGGGTTCTATAAGGGCTACTCTAAGAGTTTAGGGTTTAGTGGCCTTAATAATTAGAATAGGGTTTTGGGGGTTTAGGGTTTGGCGTTTTGGAGGGTTCCTTATTATACTTATAGTATGCTGTGCCCCCAAACCCTATTTTAATTATTAAGGCCCCTACATTACAAGCTTGCAGAATTACCAAGACTATGTCTTAGGTGTCCTTATTATGGCTATTCTATGTTGTCCCCCAAAACCCCTGTTGAAAACGTTATTGAGGGGGACTTTGCAAATATCGATGTTTTCGGGTATACCAGTGAGTCCTTTACTATAATCATAGACATCATCGAATAAAATCCTTTAAAACCCTAGTCTAATTAGTAGATGCCTCCAGTCTGTTTCTTGACATTGCGCTGCAGAGCTTTCGGAGTGCATCTGATGCCTTGCATCGTGGGGTCCTTGCCGCGAGCCCTGCAAGTGCCCTTGAAAAGAGCCGCTGTGCTCCTGAACCCTAACTAAACCCAACCCTGAACCCTAAACCCTAAAGGGGAAAGGTGGGTGGGCCAGGTGGCTATTAACGGTGTAAGTTTCCTGTGCAGCCATTTGAGCCGCTTGCGGTAGCAGGACACATCCCTGATTTAAGCCTAGACCCCTAAACTCTAAACCCCTAGACTCTGAACCCCTACCCTAAACCCTAAACCCCTAAACTCTGAACCGCTACCCTAAGCTCTAAACTCCTACCCTAAACTTTAAACCCCTACACTGAAACGCCTAAATATGTTCTTACCAGTTGGGACTACAACACTTTGCTGTGTGCGACTCCGCGTCTCAGAATCGGGTTTAAGGGTGTAGGGCTCCGGGTTAGGGTTTAGGGCTTAGGGTTAGGGTTTAGGGTTTAGGGCTATCCGACTGTCAGGGAGTTTGTTCCCAATCTTCGGCAACCTTCTTCACGAGATCAGCTATCCTGGATGCAGCACTTTCGATATGAAGGAGTCGAACGGTTGCTCACGCTTCGTTTAGCCAGGGACGTGCTCGAGAAACTGTTGGCTTGGGGTTTGCAAATCCCATGTGCACCAGGCATGGACAGGACGAAATGGCTGGATACTAGCTCGAAGACCTTGCACCAGATGTTAAAGAAGGCTAGAAGGGGAACCAGAGCCGCCATGGACCCGTCCGAAGAGGACACCCAGGTCGTTGGCGACGACGGTTTGGATCCTTCGGAGGACCGTGGTGAAACATTGTGCAGCCGTCTGGCTGGTGCTCAGTCGGGAATGAGGGAATGAGTTGTACGGGGTAACCTTAATTTCCCTGATTGAACTTTGAAATGTTCATGATGCAGTTTGGTCAACTGGGCGCCCATTAACGGATGTTGCTGAAATCTAGCCGTGTTTCGGTGTGCGTAGTGTAGCCGAACCGAAATACAAAAGAATCTAACGAAGCGTGTAAAAGTCAGGTTTAGAAAGGTCATGTTTTAGTTTTCAAACCAGAGAAAGAAACCAGTTGCAGACGAAGTCCAAGCAGTTGTTTTGTTTGCTGTGTCTTTCTGCACTTCTTCTGGAAGAATCAAACGTGCCTTTTGTTAACGGCTTTTCTTTTAAATCCTTCCGTGTTTCAAATAAACTTGCATTGTTTCCGACAGCAGAACGCGAAAACTAGTACTCAAGCTTTGGGTCTGATTTCGCCGATTGACATTTTCTGCGTGAAACATCAAAACTTGAATTCCGGTGCTGCAACAGTATTTGAAGCAAAAGAAAGTTTCCATTTGGCTGGAGTATGATGGAAAGTTTCATGTTTGAAAACATCACATGTCACGGAACATTAAGTTGTTTGCGTGTGTTTCTGCACCTGGAACATGCACACGCATGCCAATGTGGACACGGGTTAGCAGGGTCACACTTGTTCTTAAACCCCACCCTCTCCAGACTAGTGTGTTACATCCTGTCGTCGCATTCGAGAATATAGACATGTTTTAACTATCCCCCAAAGTGAAGACTTCAGCATATTTGACTACCTCGGACACCACTAACCCAAAACCCTAGAAGTCCTAAAGCCTTACACTTTAAAACTTTGTGAATCATTGCGAGGATTCCCCAATGTTTGAAGCGGAAGGCTTCGCCACAAACCCAAACTGCTACTTTGGCCTTGCCATCCCTATGCGTGGAGCTCAAGGCCTGCACGAGGTTCAGGCTTTCGGGTTCAAGGTTTAGGGCATAGGGCTTAGGGTCTAGAGTCTAGAGTCAGGGTTTAGGGTTCAGGGTTTGTTCCCTTTTAGAAGCCGGTTCCTTAGTCGCCACATGTTCGGTGCAGGAAACCCGAAGTCGGAACACACAACCAAACCCAAAAGCCCTAGAACCACTACAGTCCTAAAGCCTTCAGCCCTATACCCAGAAGCCCTAGGCCCAAACACCTTCACTCCTAGACCCCAAGCCCTGCCTAAGCCCTGAGAGCCTTATTTCCTAATTCCTAAAACCCCCAGGTGGCATCCTTCAGCCCTAAACCCTAAACCCTAAACCCCCAGGTGGCATCCTTCAGCCAGAACATTGTGGTGGTGATCACTGCAGGCCCTTAACCCATAGTCCCTAAAGCCTAAAGGGTTTAGGGTTTAGGGTTTAGGGTTTAGGGGTCCGTCACCCCCAGTCCCTAGAACCTATAAAGCCCGAATTTAAACCATGAGCCCGAAGCCATAAACCCTAAACCCTAAGCCTGTACCCTGAAGCCCTAAACCCTAATCCCCTAAGCCCTGAAATCCCAAACCTTGACCTTAAAGCACTAACGCCCTGAATCCCCGAAACCCCTAAACCTACCCTAAGGGTCCAAAAGACCCAATAATAAGGCACTTTTTCTTTGGCGGGTGGTAGTTATCTAGGCTGTTTATTTGGGAGGGTATATGGTTATGAGGTACTTGGGCCCTGGGGGCTAAGCCCTAAAGCCCTAAACCCTAAACCTTAAACCCTGAACCCTCAACCCTACACCGAGGGCTAAGCCCTAAAGCCCGAAACCCGTAAGGCCAAAGCTCGAGCTCTAGGTTGGTACCGGGGTTCTTTGCTTTGGGTTCTCAAAAATGAGTTCATAAGTGCCACGGTTTAGGGTTTAGGGTTTAGGGTTGAGAAATTTTTGAAGGACTATATGAGGTTCTAAAAGGATTTTTGAAGAACTCAATGGGGTTCTGTAGGGATTACTTGAGTTATCTACAAGTTGTTCCGGAATGGTAAGGGTTTATAAGGGCTAAGGGTTCAGGGTTTAGTGTTTACAAGGGCTTAGGATTCAGGGTTTAGGGTTTAGGGTTTATAAGGGATTAGGGTTCAGGGTTTAGGCTTTGGGGTCTAGGGTAACTTTTTTACGAAGCCCTTATTAAACCTTTTAGATGATTAGAAGAGCCGTTGAAGGAACCCTTAAAGGGACACTGTAACAGTGTGTCCCGATTCCAGGGTACTCACTGTTGCGAAAGGCAAGGCCGTTGCATGGATAATGGGCTCTGCTGCGGTTGTTGAGCCCTACTTGCGGTTGTCAGGTATGTTGGTGTCTTCTACCTTTCAAGAAGTTTCGCAGTGGCAAGCTCGAATCCTCCCCCTGACGGGGCTCGTATCGACCCCCTGACTGTTTTTCCAATAACTTCGAAGTAAGCGTTCAGATTTGCTGGCTTAGCTTCCAACTCCTAGGGTTTAGGGCTTTGGGCTTCAGGGTCTTTTTTGGGCTTTAGCGCTTTAGGGCCTTTTTTGGGGGCTTTAGGGCTCTAGGGCCTTTTTTGGGGCTTCAGGGCTTTAAGGGTTTGGGGGTTTATGGCTTTGGGGCTTTAGGGCTCCCCCTCCGGGCGACGGGCCAGGAAGGAAAAGAAGGAGAAAGACCCCAAAATGCGACCGAGGATTTAGGACCTACTTTGAGGTTCATGGGTAGTTATAAGTAGGGATATGAGTAGGATAACTATACTTATAGCCCATATTAGGGAACTTATAATTCCACTTATAACTATACCCATGAGCCTCCAAGTACTGTAAGGCCAGGGCTAAGGAACAGGCAGCGGCAGCTGGCCACCCTTGGAGGCGGCGCTGCCCATTATCTCAGACCTGTAGTAACTTTCTCTTTACTGTCGGGTTTTGCATGAGGCGCCGGACTAGCTCAAATGCAAGTCAGAGGATACATGAAATCCGTGGGGGCCTCACTTCCTTCGTCATGCGGGGAGGACTGAATCTCTTTGTCGTGTTTCGGCACTAGGGCGTGATTACAAGACCCCGCTGCTTGCCACATGTAGCCTAGGTTTGTTGTGCTCGACCCGGCTCACTTTGCGCATATGCGGCACGCACAGGTTGGCATCACCCTCCTCTTCGCTAGCTTTATCCTCTCCTAAACCCCTAAACCCTAAACTCCCCACTTGGCAGAAGTTGCACCCTAAACCCTAAACCCTAAACCCTAAACCCCCCCTTTACAGCCGACCCTGTTGAACTAGGATGGCTGGGTCTAGCAGGCCCTAAACCCAACAGAAACCGTTGGCGGAGCCCTCAAAAGAACCATGATGATTGGACCCCCACACCCTAAACGGCCCTAAAGACAATAGGACACTCTTTTACCTAGACCCTAGATACCTACTATTCGGGATTCGGGATATCACAGAAGGAGGGTCCTGGTAGTAATCCCCCTAATACTTGGAGGCTCATGGGTAGTTATATAAATGGGGCTATAAATCCTAAACCCTAACCCCCTAAACCCTAGACCTGAAGCTTCGTGGGAGGCGCTGCAGTGATCGTGGAGGACTTTGTGGACAAGGCCCCTGGCTTCGATACACCGGCAAGGAAGGGGAGTGTTGGATTTTATGAACCTTACCCTTATAGACTACGGCCGATGATATAAATCCTGCATTATCCACAATAAGGAAAAAACAAGAATTCCTTTAGATTAGGGCCCTTAAGGTAATGCAGGATTTAGATCATCAACAGTAGGATCTCCCGGGTTCAAGATTTGAAGGGTTTAGGGTTTAGGGTTTAGGGTTTAGGGTTTAGGGTTTAGGGTTTAGGGTCTAGTGTCTGTGGCGCAATCCACACCCGGGAGCGTTTCCGACGATTCAAGCCCCTGCAGACTACACGCCAAGTGCTTGAGAAGCTAGTTCTGTTGTGGGGTGGGGAGGCGTAGTAGAGCTCAAAAGGAACCACACGAATTCTCCAGCACAGCATCCGAAGCCCCTGAGCCTAAACCGTGAGCACCGCAGCCTAAACCGCCTCAATCCGAACATACATACATATATATATATATACATACATACACATAAAAGCTTCGATGAGGTATCTACAAAAGGTTCTATAGGGGTTCTAGTCCTATAAGGGTTCGCAACAATTCAGAATCATTTCCCGCTCTGGTCCCTTCTGCTCTCCTAAAGTTATTGTAACATACCTCACAACGAAGAATGCCGGGTATTACACACAAAATCAAGATTCAGAGACCCCCCTACAAAGCCCTGTCACACCACATTAACCTCCCAATTCTTAACCGCACCTAAACTCCAAACCCGAAGCCTTAAGCCCCTAAACCCCAAACCTCAAACTCCAAGCCGTAAGCCCTAAACCCTAAACCTTTTCAACGAATACAGATCCCTCTGAGGAACCTTTTAATTACAAAATCCATATGCCCCAAGCCCGAAACCCAAGGCCTGAACCCCTCAAGAGGTGAAGGGAATCATCTGGATCGCCTATCCCGGCCCGCGGCAGCCTCAGCGGGACAACAGAAATTTCGGGGATGACAACTATTAGGGGTGGGGGGGGCTTGTATGCATAATATATGTGTATATATAGATGGAGCGTGGCGCGTGTGCGCCCCTGTGTGTTCCTTCACTTCAGGGCTTTTCGACTCGGTATTTGCGAGGCTTTCGGGTTTCAAGGTCTTCGGATTTTCTGGGATCGTCTGGGCCTTTCGGATATTCTGCTTTTTCAGGGGGGTATGATAACGATCATTCTACTGCCTCTTGGTGTCCAAGCTCTTCTTTCAGGCTTCTCTTGGCTCCACGTTACTGAAAGCCTTGCTCACATTGGTCGTGCCAAGAAAGTTTCTCGTCTTGCTGGCACACAGCAGATGGATCGGTGTTGGTTGGGACCGAAAACTTTCGTCGACAGCAAGGTGTCGCGCAAAAGCGCCCGTGGCCAGAATGCCTGTGAAAGCAGCTTGGTTCGGCAGCTGGTGCACCAGTACATGTGGGTAGTTGTCTAAATTAGGGTCCCTTTCAGGTCCTTTTTATTATAAGGGTGCCGTACTATATTGGGGACCTAGAGAGGGAGGGACCCTAATTTAGAGATCGACCCATGTGCAGGCAAAGCAAAGGCCCGTGTTCTCCTGCTTCTTGCTGCACTTGGGAAGCAGCTTTCGAGTGATGCAGGGCTAGCTTCTGGAGCTGCTGTAAGCAAGTGCAAGCACTACAGGGAGTAGACCTTTGCTACTTCAACTGTAAACCCTCAGGGCGTCAACCCTAGGCCCTAAACCCTAAAGAAAACACCGTTGCAAGCTCAAAACTTCCAGGCCCGAAACCCAAAACCCCCAATAAAAAAAGCTGACTCAAGTTCTCACACCCCAAAGAAATTTCTGTAGTACCAAACCGTAACTTCAAACATACATCCAGAGGCAAGCCCAAATCTCCATCTTGTTGGTTGCTCTCATCTCGGAGCCCCTGAGCCTGACCCTTTAGATGGCAAGGTGGGAACCCCAAACAGGAAATATCATGAGAGCAGCTCTGGGAGAAAGAAAGACTGCAATGATGCAGTCAGATTTTGCAGCCGCGAACCAAATTCAAAGAGTGCAAAAACAACTTC